ATAACATCATGGTGCAAACCAACTCTCAAACACATATTATTAAACACATTCCTAGTTACTAATCTATCCATTTTTGGTTTCGTCGTCGAACGAGGAAGTTCCTCGAGTTGTAATTATTTTATTTATTTTGCGCAATGGGCTAGCAAAGAGTTTTTTTTCCACTTTACTTTAATATTTTACAAATTCAATCGTGATTTTTTCTGCTAAGTTTTCGTCCATTCCGCACGGATAAACCTTTCATACTAATACCTATATTTACACACACACACATTTGTTGAATTACATAATATGGTGGGCGAATGCTTGTAACTCGTGATTCACATCAAAATATCATCAAGCTGAGGCTTAACCTGTCAAAATGGGTTTTCTTTTACATTTCGGATTTTTGTTTTGTTTCACGCAACTACCGCCACGGTGAACGTCCATTGAAATACATTTTCTTTGGTCTATTTCACATGCATTCCAATTTACTAAGTAGGTACAAACATAATATTATATTTAACAACATTGATACCAAATCACTTATCAATGCACACATTATTTGGTTAATAACCAATTTTCTTAAAATGTTTGGTAAATGATAATAAACACACATCATTTTAGAACAATATAATAGTGATTATCTTTATAATAATTGACTACTAGTATCCTAACTGATAGAATAACGTAATCATGTAATCACAAATAATGAAGCCTGTGTCCCGTTTCGGGTGCAATTATTGTAATTTTCCTGTCAACATTTGGTTCAAGTTCGATAATTTTCACACGGCATTTTTAATTGTCTTTTCACGCGCAACAAAATTATTTACACGTGACAGTTAAGTACACGATTAAAAAAAATTGTCATTTTCTTAACCAAGAGTTTCCTAGCGCATAATTATTTTCTATTTTTATGATTATTTTCATTTAATTTAAAAACAGGAAAATGCGCTGTCGCCGTCTTTGTATTTTATGAAATTAAAAAAAATATATACACAACAAGTAGGTAGGTACCAAAAATAATCAATATTTGATAGGAATCTTTAGGCTGTAAGTTAAGGGTAGTCAATTATTTTGAAGTTCGAAAAATCGCTTGAAAAGAAACGCTTCGATGATTTCATTGGTCGTACTTTGGACCAATTGTTTTAATTAGTAAATTTCGCATTATAATTGTGGTATTATGTTATCAAATATTGGCCGTCTTTACTTGAACAAGTCATGTTACATTGACCGGATAAGCATTGATGGATAAGCTTGCATATGACGACGATGTCATTTTTGCACAACTGCCATGATGCATTTATTTTTACTTGTTCGATGTATTTTATTTTAATTTTTTTTTTTTTACTTTCTGACGGAATCTTAACCAATTACAATACATTCAATTGACACCGCATTATTATTATTAGCAAATATGCCATTTCCCATCTACCGTTTTCCTCCACCTCTTTTAATGCAATCGTTCGTTTGGATTGTTTGCCAACATTTTGCCACAATTTAATGTGAAATTTGAATATTTCAGAAATTCAACAAACACCGGAAGTACTTAATCCAACTTGACTTGAAAATTTAGTACACTTTATTGTTGCGCTCTTGATTTATGCTGTTAAATTTGTTTGTTTGCCAATCGTTAACCGTTGAGCAAAAAAAAAAAAATATTTTATCATTACTACAGAGATAAGTGAGTTTAACTTATAAAAGTAATAATAATTACCGTGCACTGTTAATGTTTTTACCGCTCAGGTGAAAAGTCAAACGGCAATAACAACCAAGTTCATCGGTTCCAAAAATCCCAGTATCGGTTATTGTAACCATTAGACATGATAATAAATAATAATAGTCCAAATATAAGAATATATATATATATGATTGTGATAAACATGTGTAAAAAAATTAGAAATGCTTCATTTTAAATTATCATAATAATGACATATACATTTATAGAAGTTAATATAAATTTGAATATTGAAGTGAGTCATATACTTGAATTTTATGACTTTTAAAAATTGCCACATTAATTACTCTACAAGTAGAATATAATATTTAAACTTAAACGATTACATCATTTTGAGCAATGTTACAAAAAAATGCACACCCCTTTATTTAATAGTGCAGGCCATACAACTATAGTTATTACTTTAGTTGACCGGTTAATTAACAAATCGACTATTTTTTCTGTCGGTACATTTATAAAAATGACCTGTTTGACATTATTTTTTAACATTTTAAAATTAAAAAAAATGATTTAAACTTAATCTTAGGTATATATTTTTTATTTGCCTGTGCCACAATTAATTAATAAACTATTTATGCGTAATAATTCTGTGTTGTGTAAGTGCATAATAAACTCTTATTATTAAGTTAAATTGTATTATTAAATAATGTTAATAATGAAATCGCTATTACAGCAGATATTAATACTATTTAATGATAAAAATAGTACAATAATAACTGTTAAAATGAGCCTTGCTTAAAAAAAAATTTTTTTTTTATTGGAAATGACAATCATTAACAAAATATTATAATATTATGTTGAAATAAGAATAATATACAAATACTGAAAGCAGGCGTACAAGATAGGCAATACTTAATACAAGTTTCATAATTCATACTACTTGAACTGCAGTAAGCGCTCATTTGACTTAGGCAATATGGTATTATTCTAGCAGTCTTTCGTTAAATAATTGAACATTTTTCTTCAAAAAATCATAATATATATATTTTTTAATTTCAAAAGTTAGGCGAGCATACGCAGACATAGTTGTAGAAACGGTTATTGAAAATTCTGATCATGTCATGAAATATAGGAGAAAATTCAATTTAGAATTTCAAATAACAAAAACTTAAAAGTCAATTAAGTTTCAAAATGTATATCCTTTTAAGCTTAACTGCTTAAAGGCCTAACGCCGCGCTGCTTCCTCCGAAGGGGAAGGTTCTATACCATGTATGTATATTATTTAGTTGTAATATATATTATTTAATAGTTTTTATAGGTAAAATTAAACGGCTTTTAAGGGATTTTTGGGAAAGGCAACAAATGTAATTTTTTTACTCTACTATGTTTTATGAAGGGTAAACTGAAATATATTTTAAAGATAAAATTCTCCAAACCTTTGATAAATCAAATTACCACTTTTGTAATACATAGTAAAATTGAGATATTAATTTTTAAAATTGTTGATGTAGGTATTTATTTATTATATATAGTGTTATTTATCTTTAGGCAGGTATTAATCGTTCAAAATTGGAACGGATATGACTTCATTCCTTACGTTTGTGATGTTTTGACGTAAATACCTAATTCAGTAAAAGTATTGTGTGAAAATGAAATTTTGAAAACTGGACTTTATTCTTTATTTCTATAACTATATAAGCGTACTCGCTCTACACTATGACGTCGGTTGTGTGAGAATAGAGCGATTCAGATATGTTGGCCAGCTAAGAGGTGGCACATAAGATAGACATAGGTTGAATGGGTTCTAGAAACCAACAAGTTTCGTAATGTGTAGTTTGAAACAATAATGCATACCTATTTTTATGACGACCGTGTTTTTTTATATTAATTACCTATTTTTAGTTGTTTGTTTGTTTTTTTTTTATAAAACATAAAAACACTATATTATACCTTTCGATTATTTCGTCATTTCAAACTGCATCGGAGGTTTTATTTTTAGTTTAAACCTGACCTTTGACCTAAAAACAATATTTGCTTGGTTTTTTTTATTTTAGAACAAAGTAACATCGATTGTAGTCCGACAAATTTCGCAGCGAAAAATCGCCGGACAAAATCAATAATGTTAAAAATCGGTTAAAATAGAATTTGTCGAGTTTATTAAAACCAATTTACAGATGTATCGTTTCTTAATTATAAAAAATTTGACCATAGATGTTTGAGAAAAATATGTTTTAACACTCCACTCTACGTCTATCTGCAGTCTAATTTTTAGACCTTAAGCTTGTCTGTGTTGCGCACTAACATATTTGCAAATATTTTCCGATAAAATGAGTGTTTGCGTTAAATTGACCACTCTGTATATGGGTAAATTATCGATGGCGATATTCGAACCGAAAACTGTTTGAATAAAAAGACAAAACCGATAACAAAGAAATGCTTTTCAAAAAAAAAAACCCCTAATGATTTCTACAAAACGATATTCGACAATGGTTTTGTTTGACACCGCGACAACAACAACATCAGATGGGCTGAAGAGTCAAGGTTTAGCGATGGCGTCTGAAGAAAATATAAATATATATGTGGTAAGGTTAGGTCTTGATAAATGGTACATATATGTTATGGCCAGAGATTTAGTGCTCCAGTAGTTTTAAGTGGTAAAATAAGCTGAGAAGACAACAATGTCATAAGAATGTCCGAAGATGATCTCTATACTTGCCAAAAACATGTATAGTAATTAAATAAACAAACATAATTCATCAATATAAATTTAACGCAAAAAGTTATAGATTAACACTTAAGTAACATTCTTTGATAATGATTTATGAAAATATAAAATATTTTCAGCATTTTAACACAGTTGATTTTTTATATTATTCGTATAAAGCCGGGTGATCACCTATCCGGGTTCAAGCAGCAACGGCCACAGCTTAACCTCATGTGCCATGCGGCAGCAGAGGTGTACACTGCGCCACACCGCCCCGATATTTTATCTATTAATCATGGTGTTATCTTGCCGACATGCCTAGTTAATTTGCCATTGTTTTAACAAGTGGGACCTTTTATGGTTTTAATACACTAGGTCATTGCGTCTATACCCCCTCTGCATAGAAATTTTCGACGATAAAAATAAAATGGCCTAAAGGACCAGACAATCAAGTTCATTTATTTTACAAATGTATTATGTATATATGACGTATATAATTATCAGAAAAAAAAAAACAATGATGTACCCTTAAGTTGCAGTTTTGTGAATTGATAGTACAATATAAAGTGGGGGGGATATGCAATAACCTTGTACGTTTAATCCATGTGTGGTCTGAAGTATATCTCCTAGTGTTGCCGGTCGGGTTAGGCGTGACATATAAGTGTTCGCAGTTACGATACTCGTGTAAACCTCTTTTTTTTTTTACTATGTCGATTTTCTCGGAACCTGTTGAGAAATTGCGCGCTTTGCTGCGGACAATGGCGAACGCGATAATTCGGTATTTAACTGCGGTATTCCTGCCGCACGCCGGAGATCGCATAGTGCCCAAAAGAGTGAATTATCATTTCACCAGAGCTTGTAATTACCGTTGCGGTTTTTGTTTTCACACCGGCACAACGTCGTTCGTGTTGCCCGTCGAAGACGCCATGCGCGGGTTAGGACTGTTGAAAGACGCCGGAATGGAGAAAATCAATTTCTCCGGCGGCGAACCTTTTATCCACCAACGCGGTCGGTTCGTTGGCGAACTGGTCGCTTATTGTAAGCGCACGCTGGGTTTGGACAGCGTGTCGATCGTGAGCAACGGCGACGTCGAGTGCCTGGTGCCGGAAACGAATGCACTCATGAAAGACAGTTATCTTATCCTGGACGAGTACATGCGATTTTTGAACTGTCGCGGCGACGCAAAGGAACCGTCAAAGTCGATTCTGGACGTCGGCGTGAACAACGCACTCATGTTCTCGGGCTTTGACGAAAAGGCGTTTATTGAAAGGGGAGGGTTGTACGTGTGGAGTAAGCCTAAACAGTATAATAATTTGGATTGGTAATCGATTCATTTTTGTATTTTTTTTTTTTTTTGGTTTTGTTTTCAATATACAATGATCGATTTTTTTTTTATAATTTGCCCAATATTTGTACGTTGGTCACCTGAGAGGCCTCTGACTATCCAAGTCCGCTTTTTAGGAAAATGAGATTTTGTCGCTTGCTTATATCAAGTTATAAACTCTTGTGTATTTTGTTATGAGGATCTAAGTTCTATTGGTAATTATTTAGGAGTTACAAACGAGGAAGTAAATGGAGTACCTAATTGTTGTAAAACTAATTAAAAGTGGATCATATTATTAGCTTAAGTTTAAAATGTATTTTTGCTTCTCATGAAAAGTTTCATAAATGGACTTGGATTGTTATGCGTCTCAGATACAAAGCTTTAGAATGCAAACGACTGCCAAAATGTTTAAAACGCTAATCGATGCATTTAGTATTATTAGTTTTTATACGTTTCTCTTAGCTTATCAATTCAATGCTTGTATAATTATTTAGCATTATGTTTGTCATATGAATACCTTATTAATTAATAAAATATAAGAAATTCGACTTTTATTTTGTTTATAAATCGTTATATACTCTTTAATTTTTACATGTTATTCGAAATATTAAGTATGCAACACTGTTGTAATTGTGCTATTTAATTATTATGCTAAAGCCTACAATTTACAATAATTTGGCAAACACTGGTGTAACAAGAGTGTAATTACAAACAATCTAATAATTATTAGCAAGCAATTGAAGTAACAACTATACACATGTATAAAATTCGCTCGTACAGTATAAGAATATATTTCAGGTTTTGTTCTAAGGATGTAGACGTTGCGTAGATGTTTTGAATACATGTACCAGGGTCTCATGTGGCGTTATGATTGCAACAAAGTGCTCCCACGTTACACTGTGTGCCTGACGTTCAAACTTTATTAAGTTTAAACGTTATGAAGTATTCGTTTATTTTTAACATCGAGTTAGGTATAATATAATATATAGTAAGTTGTCTATCGCTGAAAACATAAGAAGGTTCTTTAATAGTTTAAACAAACTAATTAATAATAAATTGTGTCTTGAGATTATTCGATTTATATTAATATTTTTACAACTGTTTATTTCAATTTATCTAAGTAAAGGTTGCAAATATACCTATTTTTTCTAAATTGATGGTGACAAAAATGATTGATTACACCTATAGACTAACGATATTCAAGTTATTGCTAAGAGCCTTGCCCTTTCTTGCACTTAACAAAGTTGTCGAGTTATAAATACATTTCACGTATAATATAAACATTAAAAAATCAATTGTGTAGTATTTCGCTTACTTGTACAACAACATAATATATTATTGAATCTATTGCTCTGTTATAAACCTGAATACAACCATCATTCCATACAACCATTATGAATGAACGGTTTAATCGTGAAATAGTTATTTACACATCATAAAGCATTATATTTAAAATTAACAATATACTGTATTGGAATTCTGTTGCTTTGGCCTGAATATTAAAATGCCTAAATAAAAAAACAATAGTCAATAAAAATAATAGTTTGATTTGTAGATATGATATGAACTAGATTATAAAATGGCTTAGCTTCGATGCGAAACAGATGGTATTCAATTACAATGAACTATGAAGTGTGTTTTCTGATAATTGTTGATCAAGATGTAAATTGTAGTTTTATGAGAATTTAATAATTACAATTATCTAATATTATATTACAATAAAAATACCTTTTTGGCTCCTCGTCAAAGGAAAAATTGATAAATTGGTTGCAGAAAACACGAGTCACATTTTTTTTATAAAATTGAGTTTTTAATAGAAACATGGTCTAGCCATAGGTTTCTATCTGTTTTTATCAATTATCCAAAAGCTTAAAAAAAATGACTCGTGTCGTTTCTGCAATTAGGGATTCAAGTACCGAATAATTGAGTTATGAAAAACTGAATAGTACATTTTTTTAAACTTATTTTTGAGTTAACAAATTAATTTTTATAACTACATTTTTTTTCCGGGAATTGAAATTATCAGTTATATAATATTTTAAGACAAGTTATTGAAGAATAAAAGCAACTGATTACTGATGATTTTACTTAAATATACCCAACAACAAAAGTAAAATGTACAAAAAAAGTGTTTAACGTTTTAAAATGTTAAATAATTATGGAAATATTTCCAACCACGTGACAATATTATGTATAAATTATCTTAGAAAATATATAATACTTTGATAGAAACTTTACGTTTATAAAACTAATTTACTTAAATAATATTTCCTATTAAATCATTTGTAAATAATGAATATTGTCCTTAATATTGCTGTTTGAGTTATTACAGCACAGTATCTTATAGTCAAAAAAAATTATTACATTTTTATTGACTACTGAATATCAATATCACCAAATTAAAATATATGGATGATTAAACACTAAGAAAACCCCATAAAGTATTATTAATTCCAGTAAAAACAAAATAGTTGCATTAAATAATGTACATATTTGATTGTACATTGAATGTTAATGTATAATTTGTCTATTTGCAAAAAAAAAAAAATAGTTTGTACTATGATTTACATAACATCTAAATTATCAGTTTTATATTATGTTATAAACGTAGCAAAGGAGGAAGTTCTGTTGATTGGTTGGCTACGGTTGTAGGCGACACATACACGCAAGTGCCTTCCGAAGGGTTTGTAGCGAATATCACTTGGTTCAGTCTTTTTTCTTCGACGGATTTCTTCGAGTAAAATTGTTCTTTTATGAACTTTATAAAACTCTGTGCTTCGCTCGACGCTACTATCACAACAATACATCCCCCCCATCTGCAAAACAAACAAAGAGACACAATAATAATAATTCATGTTAGCTGAATAGCGAAATGTGCATAGGCATAATAAAGTTAGTCAACCCAGCTCCGGTGAGTTTGCACCCGTACGCTCCGCCTTGTAAGCACAGTTCGATCAACTCTTCTAGGTCCGGATGACTGCACTGGTACAGGTCACGCAGAGACGAATGACTCAAGTTCATGAGTTCTCCAAGTTTCGAAGCCGAGGCCGACGTTTCGCATTCCTCGCAGAATTGTTCCATTCGTTTGGCTTCTGTACACGTTTTAACCGTCAAAAAGGCGTAAAAAGGCAGAAAGTTCAGTACACACAAGCTAACCTTCGAAAACGTGTAGAGCCCTTTGGTGCAATGAAAATTCCGGTACTTGCCGCGTGTTGGGCGTTAGACTTAATCGATCCAGTTCGTCTCCCGAAACCGACAGCAAGTCGCAAACCTGCAAACACCAACGACACACGTTCATGTTTTACTTTCAAACCCGTAAAAAAGCGTTAAACCTCTTTTTTGGAATAACTGGCCACGTGCAAGTGCTGGTGAACCAACTCGATCATTTCGTCCAAGGTGTATCCCAGGTTCTTCTGGAGTCGCGACAACACGGTCAACTGTTTCCAATCGAGACCACGCTGCTTTGCGATAATCTGAAATGAGTTTGTACAGTTCATGTGTAAATAGAATCGTCTTATTTATCTTTGCCTTACACTCCCAACTACATGGGGTCGGCCACCCTAGTTCTACACCTCCACAGAGCTCGGTCTTCCTCTCTTTCCCTCTACGTTCATCTCCATAACAACTCTCACTGCCTTTGCCTCATAATATGACCGAACCATCTAACCTATTCTCTCTCGTTTTCCCACAATTGGTGCAACTCCTAGACTCGCCCCCTTATGTATTAATTTCTTAATCTATTCACCAAAGTATACTCTAGACCTAAAATGATTTTACCTGCGAGGCTAGTCGGCATTCCACAACTCGGGTGTTGAAATCGTTGGAAGCCGCTTTGTTTTTGGTAGCCAGACTCTGAGCTATGATGAACGTGGCGTCGCTAGGCAAGCGAAACTGTTTGATTGTCAACGGGTTGAAGTCTATGCGCGACGCGTAACCTAAAAAGTCAAAGAAAGATACGTAATTGAATTTAAGACATAAAATTGTTATAATAAAAAAGTAAACTTTTTTTGTTTTATTGGGATTTTGTATGTACGATTTATCTCAAAACATATTCTTTGTTAGATTTTACCTTGTTTAGCGTGTACGGCTATTGCTTGGTCCATACCACCACCGGCCGTGCCAATGTACCGCTCGCACTTGGCACTTATTTCTGCCAACTGATGCCTAGTGGTGGGCACCTGAAATTAAACAAGTATGTATAAAAACCATCTGCCTAGAGAGGGTTCAATATTACAAAATTATTTTTATGCGTATAAATTTTGTTTATACACTCGTTTGACGATAAATTAGTAGGAAAAAAATGTAAAATTATTTTTAATTATTCGTGTGTCATTTTTTTTTTTTGTATCAAAATAAACAAGTTCTACAAAAGAATATTGCACTAAAACGTCTTAGTTTTGACAAAAAAATTGCCTTTTTTTTTACTAATACTTTTAAAACTCCTACGCATAAACTATTTTTTAAGAAATTTTTTTTAATTACAAAACAAACTATATTCGCACCCCGTATCCAGCTAGGATGGCCGTTACAGCGGCAGTGACCAGTGCGCTCGAACTGCTTAGTCCAGAACTCTCTGGTATGTTACCCACGACGGCGAACACAAATCCAACGTCTTTTGGCGGCGTCCGCTGATTTTCTTTCATATATTCTTGAGCCCCTTTGACACCGCACAAAAAATAATTTGACCAACACGGACTTTTGCCCAATACGTCTGCACTGTAATTTTGTAAAGTTTCCAGTTACACATAGTTTTTTTTTTTTAATACTTATTGATTATATGTATTTTTTGTACACAATAAACATTTAAACGCTTATTGTGCAGCGATTGATTCGAGATTTACTTAATATCCGTTAAGTCGTGTACGACGTCTCGGTATTGTTCTGTGTTCAGATTTGTCAGCCGAATAGTGTTCTGACCGATTAACCTCTTGGCCGCCACTATGATGCACTGATCGATGGCCATGGGGAAAACCGAATACCCGCAGTAGTCGACGTGCTCCCCAATCAGGTTTACCCTGCCGGGTACTTTGACGTAGTACTCGGGTTGACCGACTTGAAATTTTTGGCAAAAGTAATTTTCCAATAACTGGACCGACGCATTTTCCGGTGCAGTTTCCTCGACGTTTCGGTGGTGTTCCATTTTTCTAATATTAAAAGTAATATGCTTTTAAATACAATCCAATGTATACACAATACAATCTATTATAAATTACAAAATGTCACTACCTACTTGAATGCAATTCCTGTAGATAACATGTTTATCTATTATTCCGGTTATTTACCGTCATTTAAACCAGAGGCGTACAATAACTGCGGTTCGACGTTTGATGAATTAACCAACAAAACGTTTTTGGAGTTAAAAGTATCTATACTCAATAATAAATACAACGTAGTGGCATGTATACCGTTGTATACATTTTACATAAAAAACAGCAAAATTATAAATATAAATAGTTTAGTTAATAATTATTAGCTACTGGACTATAGGAATTGGCGTATAAAATGTTTTATAAGTATTAGATCAACGTTATTTTAAAAAGGCAATTAGAAAATAATACACTTGTATAAATTATACAGTCAATCGATAACTTTATGCGTTCATATGACACTTGACTGGTATTACAAAAATTATATCATTAACGTTATCTTTTAAGTTTCAAATGATTTAACGACGAATATTATTATATTGCTCGTAATTTTAGCTAAATGTTATAAATTCGTTATTTCATTAAAATACATTGGTTATACCGACTAACTTTGTCTGGTTTGATCGTTGTTTTTTTACAATTAAAATGGAAAATAAACAATTAAAAAACATTTGAACTATTATGTGAGTAGTTGTAAACGAGACCAACGTTATTGACTAAAATTCACTTTATTTATATCACCTATACTTACCTAGGTAAGAATTTTGTAGGACGTTAGAATTTTAATTATAAACAAATCTATATTTATTAAAACACAAAAATTTGACAGTATTGCATACAAATAAATTATATATGTTAAATTTGTAAACTAAGTTTTAAATATAAAATTCGGGTCCTGCGGTTGCTTGAGAATACATTGTTGTTGATGTTTAATGTTAAAAATCAAGTTATGTCTATGACATTTGCAAGAAAGTCAATATTGTTTGTATTGCTTAAAATTTAGAGTTTATTCTTAGTAATATTATATTCTAAAACAAACTAAAAAACAACTATTCTGCTCTACCTGTCGAATTATCTTCATAAAGTACATGAGTATGAATAAAATTAAATAATTTAAAACTATGTAATTTAGAGCCTCGTCGAAGAAAGTTTTCCCCTCTCGTAACAAAGGAAATCAATTTTCCATTTTTTAAACTTTTAAACATATCTTAATTATACACCTAAACGAAATAAGGTTCTAGCACTATTTGTGATATCTGTTGATTGACAGTAAAAGGTATTAATTTCATAATATGTAAACAACAGCATTTTTAGTCCATTTTAGATCAACAATAATTGAAGGGTCCAGAGCAAGAATCAGGTATCTCCATATTTTTAAATTGTTTAGGACAGCCAAAAAAACATCCATTGTCTCATTTACCACCATTGACGGGAAAAAATGCCTCTTGTAATATCTTTGTAGGTAGTTGTCCGATTTTATTGTTTGATGCTCGAAAAGGTTATCCATTTTCACATGAACATTTTACCATAAAAAAACAATTTTTTATAAAAAGTGGAGATACTTGGTTCTTGCTCGGGACCCTTCAATTTGTCTATTGAACTACAAAGAGCACCTGTTAAAAGACTTTGTGATTTTAATATGTTTTCATACGGAGATATCACTTCCAACTAATACCTACCTAATAATAATATAAATGTAAAATAATATGCACTATAGCCACGTTAGGTGAAACAACAATAACAAATACATTTTTGAGGTAAAAAATAGTTTATCATTTAATAAGGTCGATAGAGTACAATGATAACACTTCCAAACAATTTAACCGGTTTTAATGATCATTTGTGTAGAGCCGCTTTTATCTTCTCCTATATTTACTAATTAAATACGAGGAATAATAATTATTAGTCAAAACGCTGTCTTTAAATTTCGTGCGCAAGTATGTCGAACTGTTAGTACACCAATGTATTTTTATTCAATCGACGATTAGCATTTAGCGATATCTTAATAATATAATTTACTTGAGAAAAGTGCTTAAATTAACATTGTAAATAGTAATAAGATTGCGGCTGTTCAACAGGCGAGTGCCGGTTTTTTAGCCGCCGAATTAATAATATAGATACGTCGTTTTAGACTCAAGTCATATGCGTCAACACTAGACAGTGAACACAATATGACAACAGTACAATCGTTTTTTTGCATTGCTTTCATTATTTTTTATGTGCGTTGCTATCGTAGTCTTACCGATAACGACGTTTGCGTCGGCCGCTATCGTTGTGTTTATAACGATGATAATAAATAAATAAATTATTATTTTTGAAAAAATTATAATAATAAGGTCATTGAGTACTCACGTGCAATACACGGGGGCGATGGCCGGCCGTTTGGGCTGTGCACGCAGGTCAGATGTGTTGTGAGAGAACGGAAACACTGACTGTAGTCGTATAGTCGCCATCAATACTACTATCGTCGCCGCTATGCTGTGCTGTGTTGTTCAGTGTAAAATCCGTTAGCGGGGCCAGAATACGAGCAGCAGCACAATGCAATATGGGTCCGACAGACTAAAATACAATAATTATAAAGGCAACTCCTTGTTACTTAAGTGGGCGCCACCGCCAAAATAATAATAATAATCAACATAAACGGTCGTCAGATTAAATAACATAGACAGCAAAAAATATTGTGAAAAATCAGTCAAATTTTAATAGCACAAATCAAATGTTTCCTTGGAAAATTCCTGATAATTCTCAGCCCATCGCTAAGGAGTAAAGTATAGGCAATTTTTTGAAAAATCTTAATTTAGAGCTTGAACTATATAGCCATACTATAACTTAATAATACAGTAATATGACGAAACTCTATTGATTGCCAATTCTTTTTCCAGGTTATCACAGTCATCGCTATAGGATAAATCCCAAATGTTTCCCCATCAAAACTGGAAAGTATGTATGAGGCCAGTATTAACAGTAGATTCACCAAATAGTCACAATCTATAGAGAAAAACTTTATCAATGAAATAGCGTTTTTTTTTATGTCTATACTTAATATTTGTTCATAAACAAATGAAAAAGGGAAGAAAAAATTAGTCTTTACAAATGAATAATTTCGATTGTGCTTAAATTATGAAAAAAAAACTAAAAACGCTTCCCCATACATAAAGTTCTTCTATGTAAATATTGTAAAATATAATTTCAAAAGTTTTGTGTGGTAAAAATTTGATTTGCCGCCAAAATGTAATTTCAAAAAATGTTTCATTCTATTCAAAAGTATATTATCACAATTTTTATTTTAATAAGTATTAATTATTATTTATTATAGATTTTAAAAAGCGGCAAAGTAATAACGGTTCTTAAACATGCACAATCATATATTTGTTACTGACATTTATTATTTATTGCTCATTAAAAAAAATAATTTTGTATCTGCTGTTTTAATAATAAAATAAATCAGTTACCGTTTCTATTGTAATTACTAATTAGGTATACCTACAATTTTGTTTTTAAAATCCTTCAACCGCAAAAAGAAAAATAAGATAAAACCCAATTGGTATGCCCAATAAATCTTATTGGGCATCGGTTATTGAAATTCATTCTAAACATACCACTATATGAAAACAATAATAATTCTACAAGATAAAAGTACAATTATGTTGTAAAATAATTGTATTAATATAGCAATTGCTATATCATCAAAAAGTTAATACTTGCGGAAAGGACCATCTTCAGTTCGTGTTTGGGATACATTGAATTTGATGGTTGAAATTATCATAACAGAAACCGGTTTTCATAGCACGTATGTACATTGTACATTATTTTGGATTGCGTGGCATGTTTTGTGCAAACCGAACAAAATACACAGGATAACAATTTTACAAGATTTATTTCAGTTCATATATTTTACTTTGATACGACTCATTTAAGATTTTGATTTTAGTTGGTCCAACTATGTATTTTTTTTCGCGATAGAGGTGGGCAAATTAGTATCCAAGTATTTGGGTCATTCCATTTGATACCAGCACAACAAAAATTGTGTTAATGTACCCATTTGAAATTATTTTTGTCACTCGGAAAAATTGAATGATATAAAATAAAAGAACATAATAATGAAACTTATTGTTTCTCTGTAGGTACTCGTTTTACTAATATATTATACAATTGTAAAAAAAAACAAATTACAATAAATAAGTAATTAATTATATCTTAATCAACGTGTAAAAAAATAAAAACAACAATAATAATAATATAATATAAATGTTATCTAAAACTTTTGTACAATTTAAATAATATGACAAACGATATCTTAACAGGTAGACACTGATGTTCAATGCAAATTACATGTTACATAATAGGTTAAGTCGTTTTTGTACAATATTATAATGTATTTCTGAAATTTTTGAAATTAAATATATCATAACGTTGTTATTTAACGACTGAATAACATTTTTATGCAATATTTAATTTTTTTTTTTTTACCTCAAAGGTCAACGTAGCATTCACTGTAGATGGTTAACAATTTTCAGCTAAAAACTCAGTCGGCCATCAAGTCGGATATGAACACAGTGGACAGAATTTGTTTACCGTGTTTAAGCAACAGTTCCTTGATAATGTCTTGGGCGATCGGAGTGACCATGTTCAAAACATATCTCTTGTTCGAGTTGAAGAAATACGAAGCGATTTCGACTGAGAAAATAAACGGTTTTTATTGAAAAAAAAACTTAACAAACCGTATCCAAAAGTTTCATAATAATTCAAAATAAAAACCAAACTATAATATTGTGTACGAGATAAATAGACAATCATAGTTATTGTTTCTACACATTTTAAAATAGAAAAACCTCTGGAAATACATAATGACGCAATATGTAGTTAGGTACAAACTATGTAGGCTATTATTATGAATCATATATTTAATTGTAATTGACACAGAACCCGTTTTAACCAATTACACTGAAAGCGATTTATACGCGTTAGTTTAAATAAATAAAACAATTTGGTCTGTTGACTGAAAGTAAACGTTTTCAAAGTAAACACAAATAGTTTTGTTGCTGATTATTGTTGACTGCGCGATAAGCTCGACGAGACTAAAAGAAAACGCCGACGATTATTAATTACCGTACAAATATACTAATAAAAACCGACAAAAAAAAAACGCAAGTAAAAAAACCTAATAGTGACTTAAAAAAAATATATATATTTTTTATTATTTTCAATTTCTCAACATAAATCAATATTTTTTTTTTATATCAATATGGACGGCGGCTTATAAATGAATTATGATACCGAAGTAGAATAGGAAGTTATTGGGAAATCATATATAAAAGTTAAACTCACCGAAAGCCGGGTTGTCCGTTTCGATAACACGAATGTCGACGTCTTCAAGATGTAGTTCAAGATCTATACCGATCAATTTCAATTTATCACCGTCAATTTCGGTACTTGCGTGCAACATAACTGCAATGCGATCTGAAAAAAGTTTAAACGTTGCCATATCATGCATATTTGAATTTTGATTGAATTATATGATTTACTTATAAGCTATCCAAAAAAAAAAAAAAAAATATATTTAGTTTTTCATTAATTTTATTCGAATGTTGGAATTTTTATAGACTCTTCTATGGGTTTTATTAATTTTTTAAACACTATTTGTACGTGCAAACTAATATTTCTATATATATATATATATATACATATATATAATATTCCTAATTATATCCATGTACAATAGTAAATAATAGGTTGCAGTTATTTTATTTATCCTCTTTAACTTACTATCTTCTATGGATCTTAATGACCCTAACTCCTAAATTGTCTTAACTCTCGTTCCGGGTAGTTGTAAAAATTGTATTTTGTTATATTGAAAACGAAAGACTTACCTATTTTTCCTTCACACTTCCCACTTCCGGATAGGGCCGTTTTCAAAGTTTTTGCTGAAGCGTTCAAACTGAAGTCGGTGGTGTAAGTGATTTGTGGAATGTTTGCAATTGCTTCCAATATCATTTGCTGTGCGTTCGATCTGAGAAAAATTAAATATTGAATAGTTTTTTTTTTATTGCTGTGGCTTAACCTAACCACATAGTAATATTTTTTAAAACAATACTTCAACGATTTGATCGTCATCGAACCGATTCCCTTAGCCTTCAAATTCAGCAAATCTCCTTTTACTTTAAAACCGCGCACGTCTCTTTCTATAGGCACCCGAGAGATGTGTACCGGATCAAGAGACGGTAAGTTCAGCTCCGGGTTGCCTGCAAACAGAATATAAAACGAGAATCTATCAGCTATGTGATTTCAAAAATAGTTCAGCTGTACTATTGTAAAACCGTGTACGAATCGGTTACCTTGCATAAGATACGGTTTTGCTTGTTTCAGCATGTTCAACAAGCATTCGTCCAAACCCGCTGGGTCGTTCTTTTTACACTTTTGTAATCCGTCTGGGAGAGAATCATAAAAATTAGATTGCTTTTTTTTTTTTTTTTATTTCATATTTAGACGGTTTGTATTGGACTTACCGATTTGAGTCTTTCCCGTTGTGCTGCCCGGTGAAAAACAACATAGCGCAAACGCGATGAAGAACCTCGATGTGTACATAGTTAGGCAGTCGATTCTTGTGTATTCTATAAGAGGTCCAAATCCAAAATGACCCGTACTTACTATTTATGACCCGTAATGATTCGAAACGCTATTTATAAAAACAGGGTCGTTTTAATGTGATTTGCGAACAAGCGCTAACGACTTGTAAGTTTGCCGTTTCACCCAACCGTAAGCCACCGGATGCTCACTAATGCTCGGTCAATTTCGCAATGTCACACACACAAGCATTTAACAATAATTATTATTATATAATACGAATTAATTAAAACCCAATAAGGTTCGTTCCCGATTGACATATTACACAAACCTATTATGTACTATTTCATACATGTAACAGCTAATATACAGTTCACTATGTGTTATGCAGACTAAAAGAGCTCAATAAAAGTCCAAGTTAACGTCGAGGATGTCTTATCTCAATTATGTTCGGAAAACTGTAACTGAGTATAGTAAATTTACATTTAAAATTATGTAATACATTTGAATTTGTGGGATAACAACAAATTATGAGAAAAAAAATTACTAGTTCTAGTAATACTATTTGAAAATTAACGAATAAAATATTATCTTTTTGATTCCAGCAGTACATTATTTTATTTGCTTTATATTTTATTCGTTATTTATTTTTCTCAACTCTGCTTCAGGATTTTCAGGTTGTTCTTTACTATAAAAATACTTAGTAGTGAGTAAAAAGAGTGTAGAAGGCAACGGGAAACCACTGCATTAATTTTCCCAAATATCAAGCAATGAAGGTTAAACATCAGAGAACAATGGAGAACCAGATTTGCAACGACAAGACAAGGCCTTGTAGTAGTAGAGAAGAAGAAGAAGAAGTGAGTAAAAAACCTTTTTGCATCCAAAAATACAATAAATACACGATAACAGTAAAATATATTTTTTAAAAACGTTTTATTAGAGTTATTGAACTTTAAATTTATATATATATATATATATATTAGTAGATTCATTAGTTATTTAAATATTACCTACTGTAGATTTACAGTGGTAAAAGGTGTACACAGGTATGTAGATTACATTAGCTGTTTTAGAGCAAAAAACCCGGTCCTTGGGATTGAACATGTCTTCTACCGTTTCTGTATTGTAAATAAACTACAACCACTTATAAGTGTAAACCACTGAGGTTATCAGCGATTTGCCGCAAGTGTTTGTTATTGGGCTGACGAATGTTTGACTGGAGTAAATAAAGGAAGTTGAGCACGGAATAGGATAAAGAAAAAGTAGCAGTAAAATGTGGGCTTGAACCTACTATATAAGTACCCGTTGAATAATAATGCCGTTACATTACATTTTTTAGTTGGTCCGAGTTCACGGTTAGAGCTTTTTACAATTTCAAAATCATGTTGAAACGTTTCTTGTCCGTTTCGTTTTTGGCGTTTTTGGCTTTGGCCGCCGACAACGACAACGCACTATTATTGTCTGGCGAACGGGAAGCAAAAGGTAGTTATAGATCTTCTTTTAGTTTCTTGTATTTTTGTTGTTTTTTTCTGAGTGCTGAGAAGTTTTTTATTTTAGCTTGGAACATGCTGGACGGATCGAAGCGCTCTTGTATGGGATATAACGGCAAACCAGGAGTGTGTATGGGCCAAGACCAATGTTCGGATATCAAAGGGAAAACTGTAGGAAGGTGTTTCCCTTTCGATTCTTGTTGTTCGGGTAAACTATTACACGCATACGACTATAAAATAGAGAAAATTACAAAAATTAAATAACGGTTGACTAAAACAAAATCGTTTTAGTGAATTTGTTGTGTTTAGCACTTATACCAATTGTTATTTTGAGAATTATAATAATAATTATGAAAATAATATACATTTCGTACATATTTAGATTTAAATAAATTTTTTTTTAATAACTTAAACTTCATTGTAAACTTTATTAGTACAATAAGTAGGAATATTTAACGACAGCCAATTGTTTAGTTAGCCTATGGCAGCATCTGTTTACGTTTTTGGCTATTTTTATATATATATTAAGAATATGTCTGCATTATAGCCCAGTTTAACTCTTGCGGCGGATATTCGGGTGCGAGCACTTCGTACTTTCAAAATCCAGAGGCGTTCCAAAACACTTGTACGTATAAAGTAAACGTCAGGAGGAACGTGTGCCAACTTAGGTGAGTGTCTTTGTATATAATTGCATGTCCGGTCAATTTCATATTAATGCTTTGCAACGTTCATCGGTGTACAGAATCGACTTTGAAAGATTTTCGCTGAGTCAACCGACCAGGCCCGACAACAGCTCGGCGTATCAATGCGAAACCGACCAATTTACTTTGGTCGTCAACGACAACACCAAAATTTCCGTGCCCGTTTTGTGCGGCGAAAACACCGGTCAACATGGTAAATAGATAATATATACATACTTAAGCTTAGCCAGAGCCGGGGCAGTTGCCCACTCCCCCCTTTAAACTCTGCTGTGGCAGCCGTTATGGTCTATGCCCCGGGTAAGGTAATTTTTTTTCAACCGTACTCTGTGCGGAAGCCGAAAGGGTTTTGAACGGTTTGAACTTGCCAAAGTGAATAACACCATTAATTATTGCGATTAATTTTGTTAACGTTCAGTTTACGTGCCGATCGAACAAAAGTGGACGACGTCAGACCTGAACAACAATAACAACAGAGATAAATCGCACGTGACTCTCAAGTTCCAGCTGACCGCCCGAGACGAGGACAGCGTCGATCCGGAACCGTCGTGGAAACTTAAGATATCGCAGTTGGAATGCCAACCGAATTCGATGAACTGGTGGAAGATCAAGGAAATAGCGCGCCAAGTCTGGGACTGGGACGACGAAGAAGACAAAGACGCGTCCAGACCCAAGTACAGTCCGGGTAAGCTTTCGCTGTAGTTTATGTTTTGTACAAGTCACAGTGTACTTGCTAAGTATGCCTACCTAAGCACACGTTAAAACGTTACAGCCCCCGACGGATGTCTGCAATACTTCACCGACAAAACCGGTACGTTTGAAAGCTTCAACTACAACAAAGGAATGGGACACTACATGGGTGATTTGAATTATGCGGTTTGCTTCAAACGGTATTCGGATACTTGCGGTATAAGGTAAGCACGACATTTTTAAAGTGTTAGGTTTTACTGTTTATTTCTTCTTAATTTTCCCAATTTACCAAATACATGGCTTTTGGACAGCTAAACCGATTTTTTTTGGGAAACAAGTTAAACTCTTTTTGGCCATAGGTTCAAGCCGGTGAAATTCCAATTAGCCTACAACGGTAAACAGGCGAATGCTATGGATCGCGACTGCGACACAATGGTCACGGCTGATCCAGTTACAACAGTAGCTCCTTCTACAGCTGCTCCTTCTACAGCGGCTCCGTCTACAGCTGGTCCTTCTACAGCTGCTCCTTCCGGTAGGTCAGAAAGAAGATGGGCCAGAGCTGCGGCCGATGCCAACGAAGACGGAGTGTCCAAAGATTACTTGCTTATACCGGACGGTCGAACGTCCACCGGATTGTACGGATCCAAGTACTGCGACAGCTTGTCGAGCAGCACCACAGTGACAGGTAAACAATGTCGCATTCATTTAACGGTTATATAAAATAGTTAAGCTAAACACAAAAAATTTAATTTTGGAAATTCGACACATTTATTTTTACTGAATTTTTCAATTTCCAGTCAAATCGCAAGGGCCCTTGGCAGTGTCGTTTGTGAGCGATAACATCGTTGATCCCGCAGTGGACGTCGAAAAAGGATTCAAAATCGGTTATTCGTTGATCAACTCGGGTTGTTGAGGTGCCACGTCCCCGGTCGACTATTTATTTATTTATTTTAAACGCACATAAGCGGTTATTTTTTGTACAACTAGAATAATGCGACCTATTATATTTTACACAAAACCTTCTGTTTATGAGCGGCAAAATTAAAAAAAAAAAAAAATGTTTTTTATGAGTTTTATTTAAAACGTTTCTCTTGTAATACTAGAGAACATATTTATTAAATAATATATTAATTCATTTATAGTATACATTTTGATCATGTTCGTATTGTTTCAAATATTAGTTCTATACTTTGGTTTGGTTCATTCGGTTAAACATTGTACGTTAACAGAGACTCTACTGTATAAAATAAAACTCTATATAACAATAATATACCTAATTAATAGAAAAAAGAAATATTAGTAATTATAAAAGATTCAACAATTATTAAACTTAGTGGAAAATAACATTTCGATCTTTGTTGAAAGGAGCAATTTCCATTTCATAACAAACAGTTCAGTTTGTTAGGTTGCATAAACGTCTTCTTATATCTCTCATTATAATTTATTTGAACTACGCACGATGGATTATGTAAAAACGTTGTCGATACGATTGCCATTTAGTTAAAGTACAGTGTACGAATTGAAAATCATATTGACTTTTAAATTATTTTTTAAATGACAGTAAAGTTCCGAAATATACAAAAAAGAACACCAGACAATCAGTGAAACGAATAACAATCAATATACGTCCAATGAAATATATTTTAAGCGAATAAGAAAAAAAAATTGTTAATTTAACCAATGAGTTAATAAAATAAATTGTTGATTTTACACTACATGTTAATACATTTAACGATTAAGAATTTCTTTGAAACAACAATGGTTTCAATATTTGAATTATTTAAGTATGACAATCGCTTATTATTTGCGGAGATAAAAACAATATCTTTAGTACAACACTATTAAAATGAATAGCTTTATTCCCGAACATTTTGTTAATTTTATTAATTAGTTTTGAAAAAAATTAAATACTGGCGCAATCATAATATAATATACATAAAATACTTTCTCATCTTCGAGTTTAAGCTAAGTAACATTTATTGTTTTTTTTATGTCATTAAATTGTTGGAGCTGTTTTTTGGTTGTTATTAAATAGAAAATTCTTCCACATTTTTTATACCGATGTCATAATATATTGTACATCTACTTCGTATGACAAGTAGAACATTATTTAAAATCTACAGCAGATATAAATATGAAAATATTAAAAATATTGAAAAGCTCTTACATTAAGCAATTATTTTAGTAATTATTGTTCTTGAAGTAACAGCGATTAAGTTTAAAATAAATGTCCGGTCGTTCGAACTATAACAATAGCACCTAAATAGCAAACGAAAGCAAAACAAATCCATTCTGATGAATTTTTAGTAGAAAGTCCGATACAGAGGAACATCAAGCGGTTCAAAGTCATGTAATTAACATAAGAAATTGTTTTATAATGCCTTAGTTTGATGTGGTTTTCATGAATATTTTTACTGTACTGTTGTATCAGGGCGAATAATAATGATTAAACATTTTATGCATACATCTCATCTACTTAGATATCATAAAATACTTTCTTTATCGTGGAATGTACTTGCAAGTGTATTTCAGTTACTTTTATTCGAATTAATTTTAGTTATAAAAAAATAATCATTGACCATACAATGTAAAAAACCTAACCTAACTTAACCTAACTTTTTTTTTGGTTATTAAATAATCTATACATTTTTCATAAAAAAAGTATTAACTACATGCCAAATCTAAATTAGTGAAATCACAAATACGAATCGAACACTGATTTATTTCTGCGCTGCTGTTATTGAGACAAGCTTATAAAAGAAATCTAATATTAAGGTAAGTCACTACTAACAATAATGGTTTTATTGTTGGCCAATCGAATGTCGACAATGTTAACCACACGTAAAAAACAAAAGATTATGAATAAAATTAATATCGACATGCAAGCATAAAAATCATGTTGTTCCAAAATGTTCGTTATGAATACAAAAGGATCTATGGCCAAATTTACAATACATTTAGTATGAAAATCGACAAAAATCAAGAGCTTTCACTGTCGTCTACGCCATTTGTTGTTGCCGCAAACGTAGAATAAAGTAGGTAATTTTCCGAAAAACAATTTTTGTTTTTCAAGTTTGCGCTTATTTACCGACTATGTACGTCACTCATGTTGCAGATGTATCGCGAGTAAACGGAAAATTTTACCTAAATAAATTTCAAACGGTGTACACTCAGGCAGTGATATATGTTCATAACGCACTAATGTAAGTATAGAACGAAGGTGTTACATAATACAATATAATAATAATTTAATTATAATATTACTGCTACGGAACACATTTGGTTGGAGAAAATGATTTCCAGTAAAACGTTATTGACGTTGACGTTATGCTGTGTTTTTTCCGCGTTGTCTTGTGCAGAGGTATGGGAAAAACCCGACGAAACAACGGTGTTTAAAGCTTTGTGCGAAATCGAGAAGAGCTACGAAGGTATGCGTTCAGCAAGAATTCAATTTTAGGGGACTGTACATATGTACCAACGACTCAGCCGTTGTTGTCAACAGTCATTCGCAATCGACACGTGGCCATTGGTAACAGCTACAGACGCGTAGCCTTGTCGTACTTGGAAATGTCTAGGTTTCTGTTGGAGAGAGCTGAGGACGAAGAACGTCTCGCAACGGTCGTCGAACGCATAGCTCGGTTTGCAACAAACGCGCGCAAGATGGTAATGGTACTCTACAGCATAGAACTCAAGAGTGTCCAAGACATATGGTTGTATTACACGTATGTAACCGAGATCGGTGATTATCTAAAATGGTATGGCGGCGTTCAAGACAGTGGCGTTAAGGACGAGTACAGAGATACCGCGGCCAAACTAATCGTCCTGCTCGAAAAGGTCGCCGGTTCGTTGAAGCCGAACATCAAACCGACACAAAATGAAAATCAGTGCCTGACCCTTTCGAACAGGTCTAAGGTTTACGGAGACTTTAAGACACTGGAACGTGACATGGGCGGCCAGAAGCAGTTTGAGTTAGCTTTGGATTTAATCGACACTTACGATAAAAAAGTCGACGAATCGTTTGCAGCTTACAATGACACGTTGCCTTTGGGTAGGTTTACCAAAGAGGAATATTTCAAGTCGGACAATTTGTTGAACCTGAACGACGTGGTGTCTGACGTCACTAGCTTGCTGTATGTGTACGACTGTAACGTGGCATGGGACGATGCCAAGGAAGAGTTTCACACATATTACAACCTAACCAAGGGAAATCCGGATAAGTTGTTGAACAGATTCGTCACTGTCAAGCACTACCAGCAACTTTTCCTGGACTTAGTGACAATCGTCATGTTAAGAATTGTTTGGACTCAAATGAATCTGGTTTACATCAACTATCAGACCTATGAAAAAAGGTTAGAAAAACTTAACGGCTTGACTAGCGAAGTAACCAGATTCATTAGGGTCACCGGAATCGAGGAAGACGATTTCTTCTTGGATCTGTACGCGTATCTCAAACGCTATGCTGATCGAACAACCCAAAAGATATCTTTCGTCAATGTGGTATTTTTATTAAACGCTTTAAATGACATTATCATTTAGGTTTACATTTTTCACGTTTATATACCAACAATAATGCAAATTATAGCATTTAGTTTTGTATGCAATGTTTACTCCACTTCAACTTCGAAGAATCGAATTACTTAGTTCATTCTCGCTGAGTTAATACATCCCACATATTTCAACATTTTTCTTAACAGTATTTATAGCATTAAAAATAGAATAATTTCAGGAAAAAACTTCCTATCGTTAAAATGAATATTGTAAATAATATTGCAACAGAGAAACGTTTTGACGCAGCAAATGTGTAAGTATAATAATTTTGCGCAGTTTAAAATAAAATCGTTTTAAAAACAGCATTTTGTACACTTTATATTAACAAAAAAAAAACATAGATCGTAGTACCTTAAAAAATAAAATTCTTCTTCTTACTATTCTACTAGACTTCTTTATGTACATAGTATTTACTTATTGTAACGTGCTTGTAATTTTTGTTTAAAAATTATATGTAATTGTTGAGCCATCATAGTATCCTATAAAAGCTATTATAAAAAAAAATGAACTATTTTACTATTATAAAATATTATCTTATATTTTCAAAACAATAGAATACACACATCAATCTGTTCAATTCATGTTCATTGATGCATTCGTCGTATTGGTACGGTTTTAGGCTAGGCATAATATACAGTCGTGGTAATAGCACAAAGATAATTTATTTATGACCTCAAATGCTTAGTTAGTTCAAAACGTAAGCGTAAAACTGAACACGGCATTCAGATACATAGTATAATTCGTGAACAATGAAAATATTAACTGTAAAACGTTAATACATTCTTATGTATTAACGTTTAAAAAATTATTTATCTTTAAGAAAAAAATCTAACTGTCCTCCCCTAACACTATTTCTACAATTAAAATCACACACACAAACCTAATCAAGAACAGAAAAAACGAATAGGTTGTTTAATACAATGTAACTTATGAACCAACACCTAACTAATTCACATTGTGCAGTAATATACTGGGGTTAACATTGTCGAAATTCGATTGGCCAACTGTGTTAAATAAAACCATTATAGTTAGTAGTGGCTTACTTTAATATTAGATTTTATTTAACAGTTGCTGGTAGTGCTTGACAGTGACGAATCTGTTCAATAACTTATACGGATTTCCTTTGGTTAGGTTGTAATGTGTGAAACTCTTCCTTGGCATCGTCCCATGCCACGTTACAGTCGTACACATACAGCAAGCTAGTGACGTCAGACACCACGTCGTTCAGGTTCAACAAATTGTCCGACTTGAAATATTCCTCTTTGGTAAACCTACCCAAAGGCAACGTGTCATTGTAAGCTGCAAACGATTCGTCGACTTTTTTATCGTAAGTGTCGATTAAATCCAAAGCCAACTCAAACTGCTTCAGGCCGCCCATGTCACGTTCCAGTGTCTTAAAGTCTCCGTACACCTTAGACCTGTTCGAAAGGGTCAGGCACTGATTTTCATTTTGTGTCGGTTTGATGTTTGGCTTCAACGAATCGGCGACCTTATCGAGCAGGACTATTAGTTTGGCCGCGGTATATCCGTACTCGTCCTTAACGCCATTGTCTTGAACACCGCCATACCATTTTAGATAATCACCGATCTCGGTTACA